TGAGGTTCTATCATTAGTCATGATCCTTCTAGTAACTGCAGCGCTCATGTTCCCAGAGTCGCGTGACTTCCGCTGTTGTAACAATATATATATATATATAATTGTTATTAACCCTTTTCTACCTGGAGTAGTAATCTTTCTACAAAACTGCAATTATGCATTGCTATGTTTAACAGCTCTGTTCAGTAACAATATGTAAAAATATTATTTCTAAAGAAAATGAGTCACCTTACACTGTTATTGTTGACAGATGGTTTATTGCAAAGTTGTTTTTGATAGTTCTTTTTTCCCAGCATGAAAACAATTAGTTTTTTCATCAGTTATAAAAGAATAAGTTTTGATGTGATTAGTCTTATGAAAAATTTACTCTCTTATTTGAAGCATAAGGAAAAAAAAAATTTAGGTCCTTGTGTCAAAGATTTGGATAATTTATTGGATACAAGTAGGTAAAGTGCTAATGTCACAACTTTTTTTACAGTATTACACTAAAAATTTAATTAAACCACTATTATCAATGTATTTCAATAAATTTGACATTAAAACATAGTTAATAAATCAAACAATATTATATATGTTATAAAATCTTAATTTAAATATATTCTCAATCTTTACTGTTTTGTATTCTGCAACATTTATTCACTCGAACTGCAAATTTTAGATACTTTTTCCACCTCAGTAGATGCTTCTTAGAAAGGTATAGATATTGCTAAGATATAATGTAATTTTATAGCCTTCAATCATTTTGTTTTACGTAGATATAAACCAGAAAGTCCATTCCACATGCCACGCTCTCCTATCACTTACTATTTTTCAAAAGATGTCAGTAATTTTTCTCTGACATTTGCTATTACATTATTTATAACCAATAGAAAGAGAAGATTTTAATTTACTAATTTATGAAGAATGCTAACTCATTCTTACAACAGCTTTTGAAGTATTTGGCATACAGATTCAAAGCTGCTGTCAACAAATTCAGCTTGTTCAATTAAGGGAATTATTTGAACTTACTTATAGCTTAGTTAGAAATCCAGTTAAATTATAATATTTATAGGATATTGTGTTCTCTGTGCATGTTATTATTTTGTGTTCTAAGTTGAATATTTGAAATAAATAAAAATTCTGTAAAGTACTGACAACAACCATAGGAAATATCAGAGTTAACTGTTATCAAGTCTTCGACAGCAAGAAAGTACAAGATCCACACATAAGTACTAGATTTCTTGATTTTTATTTATTGTTATAAAAGTTACTCAAATGAAAAAAGAAAATATCTTCAAGTAATGCACGTGAGGGGCTTTACTTAATTCAGTACTGTAGTTTGAGTTGTGTGTTTGCCAGATGATATCTAACTTGTTTCATGTGTTTAGTAACTAGACAGGATTCAAAGAACAATAAAGTAATGAAAATATAATAAAACAGGTATAATGTGTGTTACAAGCCTGAGGCTGTATAGGACAAATGATTTGTAATTTCCATTTGTATTTTGTGGTGGTTAAAGGGTCAGTCAAATGAGCTGAGTCTGTATGGTATTAGGGTAGAGAAAATAAGGGATGAAATATAAAGTTTTACTGAAAACAAACTTACGATATTCAATTATGAGGTTCTAGATGTTATGCAAATGAAATTAGAAAACTGAAAGATGAGAAATTTTTTTTTAACCCTAACATGAAAATCACCATGAACTCAGACTAATCATTCTGAATCAAACAGTGACACTATAAATTTACAGCCAAATATTTAGTAAAGTACTTAATTAAAAAGCCTGATTTTTTTTGTGTACAAAAGATATGTAATGTATACTTAAAGCATGCCAAATTTCATGAAGATGTAATTACTACATTAACACATTCACTGCTGCTTCAGAGACCAATACCTAAGCCAGGTGCCATTGGCTTTTTTTTTCTCAATAAGATTATTTTAATAATGCAAAGCAATATGAGAGAGAGTACTTATGGGTATATATGATTATTCAACTAGAACCTGTACATGAGGGTCATTGGCACTCCATCCAAAATTTTTTTATGAGTGCCACATGATGCACATGTGCATCATCTATTTTATGTATCTTGTCATGGTTTTTTGGGTATTTTTTAATGTACAAGAAGGATAAATTATAGTCATTGGAATATCATATTCATTAATGATATTTTCTGACATCCGTCAAATGTAAAATAGCAAATAAAACAAAAAAAATTCTCTAAGTCTTTTTTAGTCATTATTTACTGATGAGCTTTTGTTAAACATGACTCTGTACAAAGTAGTAGTCTGTTTGAACAATTTTCAAAATAATACATTTTGTCTTTATGTGTACCCCCTTCAAAACGCTTGACAATGTGCTTTGAAATTTTCTTTCTTAACATTAGATTTGAAGGAGTGCTATTTTTATTCATTTTATGAAAGCCAACCAGAAAAAAAAAAATGATAATAAAATTTATAACCAAGCAAAGTTTCTATGAGAGAGAGAGAGACCGTCGTGCGAATGCTGTCACAGCAGAACTGGCTTCTATTGCATGCCAACTTCAATAAAACATATTTGCTTCAGTGTTTTTGTTGATACGCATATGTGTTGATGGCAATAGATAACATATTCTTGGATGTGCTTGTGCATCCAGTGGCAGTGAATGTGTTAAAAGTTATAGTATGTATAGTTTCATGGTTACATAGATGTTGCAAGGTTGGTTAAAATGACTAAGTCCATATAGAGAGGGTTAAGCTTTTCAAAACTGTGCATATTTTTAACCCTACATGTATGGCATTTCTATGAAGCTATACACAGCAATGTTTGCTGTAATTCTGAATTCACTTCATGAAATTTGATAAACCTTTTTTAGTGAATAATATAAACATATTGCACAGAAAAAAATTCAGGTTTTTAGTATTCAAACCTCAAGAAACACACATGTCACTGTGTGTTTACAATTTATCAAATTTAGTGAGGTCAATACTTTGAAATCTTTTCCCCCTTTTCTAGAAAGAATGCCCTTTGATCTTGGTGTACATGAGTGGCCAAAATATAAGATCGAGCTCTGTTAAATGAGATTTAATAAGTCATTGTCAAACATCATGACTTTCCAAAACTTGTTACATATATATGTGTTATGTATATCAAAAAAAGAAAAAGTTGTATCTTTGACAATTAATTTAACTTCTTTTTTGATATTTTAGATGAAGACAGTAGTTATTTTTTAGTTTTAAGATTCAGAGAATTTGAAATATTTCATTTTAGACAGAATCTTACCAAGGGTTAGTAAAGTGTATCATCAGTGTATGTAAATGGATTTATGTAGTTTTTAAGAGTTCCATGTTCTTCATTATATTGCATTCATTCCAAGAATAATAGATTGAATGTTTTTACAGGATGAGGGTAAAGAAACTCCCTATGATTCTAGCTTTGCATCTGAAGAGATTTAAATACATGGAACAACAAAGCCGACACACAAAACTTTCTTACAGAGTTGTTTTCCCTTTGGAGCTAAGGCTTTTTAACACTGTAAGTTACATTCATTTTCTTTTGGTCCTAAATTCTCTATTTTATATTTATAAGTGCAGTGAATGCAGTGTAAAAGCCATGCTTTCATGTGTTTTTAACATGTTGCATTTCTAAGTCATGTTAAGATTTACTGTTAATTGATTACTCTTTTCATATAGACCATTTAACAAATTTATTTTTTAACTATAAATAATTAACTCAAGTATAAGCATTGAAATTTAGTATAATAGTTTTTGATAAGCAAAAGAAGTTCATAAATCTTTGTTTTTTCACGATATATTTACTTAACTCTACTAAACATTGGATGTGCAGATCACTCCAAGTAAACACACATCAACTTTCAAAATCTAATTAAACATAGTGTTAATTCTATTTCAACAGTGTTTTACTCAGAAATATTTCTGATGTAATACCTTCTTGTATTTCTAGGTGTTTGAACTGTAAACATTGCATTTCAAGATTTTAAAAAAAATTTTGCCGTGTCTCAACCTTGTATTTATTTATCCATATTGGATTTCAGCATTTTTGAGGGGGCTTGGACTTGTATATTGTTTGTCCAACTATGAATTTATTGGTTAACCCAATTCTTTGCACTGCTTGGAGGAACCTTGAGAACTTCAACTGCCTCTCAGCTTTGAAAAGGAGTAATATGGGTAATGCAGCAACTTCAAGGCAGTTTTGAAATACTTCCCAGTAAACTAGAGGCTTGTGATTTTTTACCCATATTTGCTGATGGTGTTCTTTTGATCCTGATAATGTTTTTATGTTGTGTCCATTTGAAAGTTACAGGAATATTCTTCTACGACAAAACATCAAGTAAGACTGAAGTTAAGCAAGTATGATAAGCTATGGATGACACAAATTCTTGGGCTGGGCATTGCCTTGTGTTTGGATGCGAAGGTCCATAGTTTGCATCCTATTTGATTAGAGTAGCCCAAGTGTTGTTGGTGGGTGTGAACTAGCTGCTTTTTCTCTAATATATCAGTTCAAAATTTGGAGCAGCCATGTGCAGATAGCCCTTGTTTAGGTTTGCAGGAATATCTTGAACAATGGGACAAGACAAAAATCTTATTTGTGTTGAATATATTGCATTTGTTATAATTAAAGTCAATTGGTTAAAAAACATACAAAAATACAGGAATTATACGATATAAAATGATCTTGATCAAGATATTGTTGTAAAAATATGTCACTACTATGTGTGATAAAGGCAAGACTGTTACCATGGTGAAAAGTGAGTCTTCTTCACCAGCATATTTTTGGCAGTTATATCATGTTTGTATTAATCTACAGCAGAAAGTTAGCTGTTGCAATCAGCAAAATAAAGGATTAAAAAAATAATATTGAGAAAAATTGAAAAAGTTAAAACTGATTGGATATATAAAATGAGTTTTTCTAAGCAGTAAAAAATTAGTCTAAGACAAAAGGAAGTATATTTTATTTTCAAAACATTTTTTCACAATAAAATTTCAGACACATAGCAATGTAGAAAAAATTATATAAATACTAAATTCTTTAAATTTTTTCATACAGAAACTAGACACTATTAAGAAAGTTTGTATCAAACTTGCTATTTAGATAAGTGTTTTCAGTGTGAGAACAAAAGGAATGCGATATCATTGACCTCTCCAGTTTTTAATTTTTGTTAAACCTTTTTCTTTTCTTTCTTTCATTGGTAAAATATTGCAGGAAATACTTACAAATGAGCTTTTAATCATGTACATCAAATATAATTAAAAATATTTCGTAAACATTTTTGGTTAAAAATCAGAAGCTTTAATTGAGGTTTGAATTCTTTATTCCAAAAAAATATAGGTAAGTAAAGCTACAATTGTGAAAAAATATGTTACAGAAAATGCAATTGTGTTGTAATTAATACTGACATACATATACAAATAATAGAAGTACATTATTCCAAATCAAACAATTAACTCTTTCAGCATGGCCTCAATTCCTGGTACCAACCTTGTAACCATTTTGGACTTGTTATAGTTTTTATGCTATAGCTTTTTAATTAGTATGCGTATGTTAACGAAATTTGGCAGATTTTCAAGAAACGTTACAATGCTTTCATACGCAAAATATCAAGTTGTTTTTGTTAAGTTTTAAAGTTTGTAAAGCAGTGTTTTTTTTTTGTGCCTTTTTTTTTTCTTTTTGCATGTTGCCTATTCAGCACCCTAAGTAATTTTAATTTTAAGATTAAAAATACTTTTATGCATCAGAAAATGTTCAGATTTCACATGCGAAATCTTTATAATGTCCAGATAGATAACAAACATTTCTTATGAAAAATCTTTATATTTTATCTGTTATTTTCAGTAACGAATCTCTGTACGGGTTTGGTTGATTTGACTGATCTCATAACCACCATAAAAAATTAGGAAATAAATATAAATTATGCATCTTTCAATCAAGAATGAACACAAATTATAACACAAAAATATAAATGTTTAGACTAAATAGCTTAAATCTCATAACATTATACATTTATATATATATTTATTATTTTTATTATATTGACATTTCAGCCATGCCTGGCTAACAAATCGCTTAAATCTCGTAACATTATACATTTATATATATTTATTATTTTTATTATATTGACATTTCAGCCATGCCTGGCTAACAATACAGAAGTTACAATGACGTGGCACACATGCACTCGTGTTACCGTATCCAATAATATAAAACTGACCTTTAATATTTACAAAGTGACCTGTCTTGGCTGTGTTTTAGTAGACTAGTATTTTGTAAAATACAGTCAAATTTCAATTGTTATACATTATATATGTAATTAAATTATTGCTACTTTGAAATAAGTTCTTAAACTTATTTTTCTTAAAACACAGAACATTACATAAAAAAGCAGGGCGAACAATTAACGCTTCTAGTTAGGACCTTTGTACTTGGTTGCTGCTTGACGTAGGTTGCTAAGCCTTTTAAAATTTCGCACGTGGAGGATATGAAACAAAATATTTTTTTTAGGTTTTATGTATACAGTTCAATAACTGAAAAATTATGAATTACCATATCACTATCATAGAATTTCACTATAATTTATCAAGTTTAGTATTTAAGTTGTATTTCAGTCTAAAAAAATATGAAATTTCCAGCAGACTAAAGACGCAACCTACCTCCTTGAAATCTTGGTTCGAAAGAACAAGGTGGCATCCTAACAATTTAAAATGGCTGAGAAAGCCACTAGGGTACATTCTGAGCTTTTGATTTGTTATTCATGTCATATATAGAAGTAAGTGTATATTAGGGAGCATTTCCAAAAATGGAAAGAGGTGGGTGGGGGTCTACTGTGTTTGATTCAGTACATGAGTGATATTTTAGCAAATAGAAAAGATAAGAGGTTCTTATTTTATATTCTAGCTTGTTAATATTGTTAATTTGAGTTCCCAATTCGTTCAAAACTATAGACTTAGCATTTTGACATCACAAACATCTCATTTGAACCACTGCTGCATTCAACATTCCACATGACACACAAAAATCGATGTTTAACTGTGTTTTTTTAATATTTACTTTTAAAATTATGAAATCGAATATTATATAATACTGAAATTTGAATTATAATCTACAGTTTGATACCAAAGTTATTGACATAATTCATGAAATAGTAGTTCAGTAAAATTTTGAATGCGAGTCAACAAATGGGATGACATGGCCATTGACTTGTGACCCATCTGGAAAGGGATAATAGCACAGCACAAGAATTGTAGAGAAAGACCAACAATAATAAATTTGTTTTATTGGGTCAGTGTATGTCTTTCCTTATTATGTTATAGGTATAAAAGACATTTCATATGTATACAGAATTTGTGTAGACTACTGAAGAAAAAACACTTAATGAATTTTGATATTCATATCTTATTTAATATGAATTATCGAGAAATTAAGTAATACTTACAAAAAAGGTACTGACTTCCTTTTCTTTTTAGTCTGATGATGCCTACAACCCTAATCGAATGTATGACCTAGTAGCAGTTGTCATTCATTGTGGAAGTGGACCAAATCGAGGTCACTACATTTCTATAGTTAAAAGTCATGGACTATGGCTACTTTTTGATGATGACATTGTTGATGTGAGTATTAATTTATTTTTTAAAAAGTTCTAACTCAATTAAAGTTGGAACTTTCCCCTGTTGACACATTGAAATTTTAAACGGTACTCATGGACAGATCTATAGTTGTAACTGTTAAAATATTTTTAAAAGATCTTCAAGTTTTTAACCATTTATAAAAGCCCAGAAATATATTCAGAAGAATAGTTCTTGAAATGAATAATGTTTTATAAAAGTTCAAAAATTGATTTTCTGAAATGATACCACACCCCTTACTCATGCGTCTGCCAAAGATGTTTGCATGTCATTAGCCATGGGGCAACTCCCACCTAATTTCACATGATACAATGAGAATTGTGCTACTGGATGATGATGTAATCATGTGGCAAAGCCCTCCACCAGTTGGAGGGTGACACACCTCCATGTGCAACTCCCCTGTGCATTTCCACTCTAGAAATTCGTTTTTCTCTTTGGCATTGTATTGCACAGACATGTTTAAATTTCTCAACTATGTTTAATTTGTTGAGATTTGCATCATTAACAAAACTTATATTTACTTTAGCTTTGTTTCAAAAGCTTTATCTTGTTAACATGAATTCTCAAATAATGGTGATTTATACTTAGTCCTGAGTGTGGAACATTGTTCACATTTAGGCCTTCATCTTGCTTTGGCTTCTGGAGGCTTATTAACTGTTAGGGTTGTTGCAGCCATTGTTCAATATGCTGTGGATTACTGTGTGCTTAATGGGCCTCCTACTCCCATCTCGTCAGCCATATTTCTTTCTTCTTAGTCGGGAATGATCTATTAGACTACAACCTTCACCTGTTTTACTTTAAGTAGCATTTTCCTCTTCGTGAAATGACCTTAACCTTTCAATTCTTTTCTGGATTTCATTCTCAGGTATGTTCCTTTCCATCTTTTTTTTTGCCTCAGTTCTTTATTCTTTTTTCTTTTCTAACTTTCTGACTGATGATTCTTGGGTTTATCTTGTCTTTTCTCCTTGATTTTTGTTAGGTTTTATACTGTTTCCTTTATCTAATAGCTCCTTCTCGTCCCCCCTCACGTTTGCGGGTCCTCTTTTCTAGATTTGTAGACTTTCTTCCTTTTTCACGATTTCTTGTCATTGGTATTATATATCTGACCAGCTGGAGGATTGAGCCCTTTACCTTCTATTTCACTTGCTAGTTCCATATTTTTTATCTTTTTATCTCTACCCTTCTTTATACCTTCTCCAATCTCTACCTTTTATCTGAGGCACTTCTTAATCTTCTATAGACATTCATTCTCTCCTATGTTTGGCCACTTTCATTTCTTTTGCTCTATCTCTTGTACTTTTTCCCTCTGTTGTCAGGACTCATTGGATCAGGTTACTTCTCTCTTTCCTCTACCCCTTTCTTCTCCTTGTATACTTCTTTTTTGTCTGTCTCCTTTTCTTTCCCCCTGGTGACTTGAATAGTTGTCATAATAATTCTGTCTTTGATATCTTCCCAGATTTTATTTCCTCTTTCTGGACTTTGCCCTTTACTCCTATTCCTCATCTAGATCTTTCTCCTTGTCACCTTCCCATTCTGGATTCCAGGCCTTCCTTTATTTTTTCTCTCATTTTCCCTCATCTAGGAGTCTTGTTCTTTATTCTTCTTATTAGTGACTATCACACATGTATGATTCTTTGGGTAATTATTTCTTTTCCTGTTGTTGGTCTTGCTTTCTGCTACAGTTGTTTTCTATTTTTCTACCTTAGTCTCTTTCCTTGCTTCTCTTTTCCCATTTCCTTTTCACCTCCCACTGATCTCATCTTTGGTCTTTTTTACCTGGTCTGCATTTGGTAGTGGTCAATTTGTCTGACACCTTCCTACACATCTTTCTCGGCCTGTTCTCTCTTTGTTTTCTGTTCTTCTTCCTTCCTTTTTGTGTTTTCCATTCCTTGCTCTTCCCTTCAACTCAGTGTTGGCCCCTCTTATATTCCTTGGCATCGTATGGGCCTTCTTTTGCCATATTCTCAGCTTGGGGCTAGCATTTCTTTCTTGGACTATTTCCTTCTGTTAACCCATTCTTGAATGTTTACTATTCTCTTTCCTCCCTTCCTTTCCTATGGCTACTCTGTTGGGACTGGTCTTGTGATCTGTATTTTCTCACATCACTTTTGGTCTTTTTTTTCTTCTCTTATCTCAATTGAATTCTATCTTTTCACCTGCGAGCTCTGGCATACCTGGCCACCAGGTTTTACATTTCTTATTCTCTTCCTAGACGAGAGATTATTTTGCTTTTGGGAGCTCTGTCTTTCCTAGAACCCCTTATTCATTTGGGGAAAGCACTAATGTGTCTCCAGCTATGGACTTTACAAACCTCTGGTTTTCATTCTTGGAGTCCATTTTCCTCTTTGTGAGCAACTCCTCAGGATACTGTCTTGGTGCCCGGACTACTTCCCACACTTTCTTACTGCCTTTCACACTGGATCTCTCCCTTCTTTGACACTTCCTTCTCTGTTGAGGGCAGGACTTTTGACATTTCATTGCTGGTCATGTTCCTGTTTCTGCCCTTACTGGTGGATCACTTGGTCTTGTTCCACTCAGGCTTTTATACAGTCACTTTTTGCACCAAGCTTCCATGAGGCTTCTGTTCCAGGTCCCTTTGTCTTTGGGCATTACTCATACAACTCTGGGCCCATTCATATCTTGTTGATCTTCATGCCTATCAATTGCTGAGAGCTTATATCTTGATAGTGGACCACCTATCTCTGCCAGTCTGCATTCTATCAATAGAGTGGTCTCTACACCCCAGGTCTTTTGGTTTTTTTTTTCTTAATTGGTCATGCCATTTTTGGTTACATTTGCCACCCTTCACAACTCTGGGCTTTCTCCCTTATAGCCTGGTCTTCCCTCTTGATATATGTTCATTCCCCTATGCATCTACTCCCCCTGGCCCTCATCTTTACACACTTTCCTTTTTGAGTCCTACTGTTGATGACTCCTTGCTCAGCTCAGCCTTGGTCTGTTGGCATTCAGACCCCCCCCCCTCCTTTTCTCAATTTATTCAAGCATCCCTTCTTCTTTGAGAATTATCTTCTCTCCTTCATGCAAATGGAATTTTCTCAATTTATCACCCATAGGGCTAGGCTTTCCACTTTCTTGTCACTCCTCTTCTAGTCCTTCTGCTGCCTTTTTCCAACAGCAATTTTGGTAGGTCTTTTTGTCATCTGTCTTTTTGCCACTCCTTTCCTCCTGGCAATTATCCTGTAACCACCTTTCTGCCTTTTTCCCTTGATTGTTCATCATAGATTTGTCAGATTATATCTGTACTAATTGTTGGGAGGCCTTGTTTATGGCCTTTTTTCCTTTTCCAGTATAATGGGGTGTTTCTTCCCCTGTCCTCTTCATTCTGTTCTTTGCCTTCTTTCTCAACCATCCTTTTTACCCTGCTCCAATGCCTGACTGAGACTTTAATGGGATTTACATGATCTAGTGCATGCCCATTTGAGCTGTTGGCTTCCTTCCTTTTGTACCATCTCTTTATCCTGGCTAGTTTCCTCCTCTTTCTCACCTTTTGCTGTTCAGATGTCTCTTCTATGATTTTCTCACACTCTCTTCTACTACCTTTCTATGTCCCTCTTACTGGTTTGATATTTCCTTCCTCAGTCATTAACTGCTCTGGATATTGCCAAGACTTCTTTTCTATCTCCCTTCCTTCTGTCTCATGCATATTCTTGGACCCCTCCTCTGGTTGGAATGTCCATCTCGAGTTGGGGATGCTCATAAGCTATTTCCCATTTCTTCACATTCTATTGGTCAGTTTTCTCCTTCTCTTACAGCTCTTATTTACCGACCCTAGGATGAGCTCCTCCAGGTGAGCATGCGGGTGCTTTCCACACATTCTTCTCCTCTACACCTTATGACTGTTTTATCTCCTGATGGTTTTTGGCTTCCTCAGGTTGACACTTTTCTACCATCCCACTGTCTTTGAGAAGAATACGTACTATTTATCTTTCAGAGTCCCTTTTACATTCTTAGGATCCTACCAGGTGGTACCTCCCAGGGTATACTTATTTCCCAAAATCTGCATTGAGCCAGGATAACTTTTTTAACTGCCTGGCTCTACATATGCCCACTATGATATCTATATATTTACCTCTTTGTTCAGTCCAGACCATATCTATTACATGGAATCTCGTGGAAAAAGCCAGCAGTGTGTTCTGCCTGCTTCCCTGGCTAGCATTTTGTGGCTTTTCAAAATAGGATTTTACAGTCACCCATTGCACTGTCTCCAGTAAAAAAACCTTTCTGGACTAAAGGATTGATGGAGATCTTACCATTTTCTCTGGGTCTCCCCAGTAGAAATCCACCCTTCCCTTTTTGCTTAGAGTGAGCACGGGAGACCCTTGCCACTTTCTAACCACTGGAGAGGTGGACCATGGATAACCCTCACCGACAGATCTCATACACTGTGGCGATATATGTTTGAGTACCAAAACAGTGGGAAATGGAGTCATTCTTACACTGTCAGGTTAGTGAAGGTCAACCTTTATAGAGCTATACTTATAATACATTCCACTTATGCCCTCCCCTTGTTGCCTGGGTCTGTTCTGTAGAGTTGGGTCATGCACATTTTACAATACTGTAACCTCCTCCTGTGGCCTGCAACTGTTCAGTAGAATTGAAGTGAGCACACACCTGTGCTTTCCTTCTGCAGTTATTGTCCATTCAGTTGAGTTCAGGTGAGCATACATGATCACATGCCTACAATTACAGCTTATGACATTGGCAAGAAATAAGAATCCTAAAACTTTTGTGATAATGGTTTTTACTTATTATCTTGGCTTCCAGATGAAGTAACCGTTTAGAGAAGTTTAATAAAAACAGCAAGAATGAATGTTATAATGACAGTTAGTGACATAACTTTTGTAGCAGGGTGCAGTGTCTTCATCACAAACTTAACTGTTCTATAGTAATTACAGTATATGTTCCATCAAGAGTGACGTTTTGTTTGTTTAGAAATACATCTTTTTGGTTATTATAATTACTAAAGCTGAGATTAGTTACCCAACATTTCACTAAATAAGCTAGTTTTTTGATATAGAAGGTTTCTTTCTTGATTCCTGTCTGGGTCTAGATGTACATGTCTAGTGGAGAAGGTATATATTTTTTCCCCTTTCCCCGCTTAATACCCCTGGACCCCAGTGGGGGGCTCCCATACCCCCAGTGATTTTTCCATTTCCTGTTCTCATCCCTGCCTATGTGGCATGACTGTTTGTATTCTGTGGTCTTATCTTAGCTATACCTGTATTTATATGTTAGAATTACTATATGATGTGGAGATGGTTGATTTTTATTCAAGTGGGTGTCTCTTTACTTACTATGTACAACACTAATAGAAATCTAGAGATTATCTATAACATCTTCAAATCAAATCTATGACCTTAAGTTTACATTAAGGTGTAAAATGGAGGAAAGAAGAAGGGTGTGATGTAGCATTGTACATGAAACCTTGATCTCTGGTCATGTGTTTGGTAGCAAGTATGTTTTTTTAGCTTTCTTACATTCAGTTGTTGGCCTTGAGTAGGGATTTACAGTTGTTTCATCACCAGCTGTAGTTGTTTGCAATGGAATTTTCAGTCTGGCATTGTCACAGTTATCTTGTAATCCATTGTTCAAAAGGTCTTGCTGTCTTTTCAGTATTATGTTTCTGCACAAGTCAAACATTCAGGTCTATGGATGTTTAACTATTGTCAGGATTCTGTGAAAAATTCGAGTTTTAAGTAATTTCTGTAAGATTTTTAAAAAATAATGTCCTATAAAGTCTGATTTATTTTAAATGTATAGAAGTCATCAAATTACAAAAGAAAAGATTTACCTTAAAAGTTCTAAGTATAAAAAATTCAGTTACGAGAAATTAATTGACTAAAGTGTGTGCAAAACTTAATGTTGTGTAAGATACCATTAAATGGTTTTAGCTTTTTCTACCCGATAACTGGAATTAATGTTCATTTTATATCAACAGAAAATTGATGCTTCTGCTATTGAAGATTTCTATGGGCTGACATCAGACACACAAAAGACCTCAGAATCTGGTTATATTCTTTTTTACCAATCACGAGAATAACTGTACACCAGCATCTTTAGTTTTGAAAATAATTATTTATTGTTGCACTTAAAACAAGTTCAACCAAAAAGATAGTTTGTTGAACTGACACGTATTTGATAAATTGTATATTGGTTTCAAAATATTCATAGCCTGAGAGTTAATAAATTAAAGTATTAAAACTTGATAGCTTCTTTTTTGATGTTAAGCAGAAAAGTGTTTGTCTTGTTTTTTTAACTCGTACTTTTTGTGTATTTTTAGAAGAAAAAAAAAAGTGCTTTTTAAATGAGCTAGTAATTGGTATGGAGTCTCTAAGTGATAAGCCTTATCCATAATTCTATAGAAGGTTACACTTTTAGTCCCTCCCTTTTGTTTTATATAAACAGAATAACATTAAAAAGAATAATTTTATCCTTTTAAGATATCTCCAGGTTGTAGTTCAAATGTCAAATGTTTTAGATGCCCAATTTTTTATCATATAAAAATATCCTACTATTGGACATAAGTTTAAAAAACAGAAATTCTAAACTATTGATAAGTTATAAAGTATATCTGGTTTATGTATAAGCATTAAAAAAAGTCTGTTGGGCCTTCCTACAAACTGGTTAACTCCAACCTTAGACTTAGGTTTGCTGTTAATATTTCAGACAATTTACTAGAAATGTGCAAACACGAACATTAGTTAAACTGAGAAGAAGAGAAACTGTTTCTCTCAGGGCATCAAGTTAACCATAGTTTGGATTATATTGACCTTAAATTGCTTAAGCTACAGAAACTCTCACTTTTTACTTTTTTTTTACTGGGTTAGAATCTTCCAATAATAATTTGATTCATTAAGGTATTAAGGCCTACAGGCAATTATAACAGGTCATTCATTGTTAAACACTTGATCTGCCAGTTTGTGAGTACCATGCATGCTGAAAATTTAGTTTGAGAAATACTGATGCAAGATTTTGTAAAGAGGATGAAGTTTATGGCCTACAACTGTTTTCTAAAAATAAGTTAATGTGTGGCTACACTATATCAAAGACTAAGAAGTTATAATACTTTGTTTCACATGGATTTAATTCAGTGCCTGTTACAGGTTATATTGGTTTCATGTGGCATACCTTTTAAAGGGTTTCATTTCCTGAGTCAGAATATATATTCAAGTAAAGATTTCCATAATGATTTTCCTTAGTTTATTTTATGGCCATATGAATTGTCAATTTTAGTTTTGAACAAATGAAACAAGTTTTTCAAGGAAATTAATAGTGATATTTAAAAGTATAGAACAGGGGTAGTTTAAATGGTGAAGTATTTTGGTATTTGTGTGTGATATTTTATTTGTACACAAATATCAACCCTTTGCTGTTATATAACATATCTGAAGTGTGTGTCCAATTGTTTTTCATTTGTCAAAATACTTCGTTATAGTATTTTAGAGGTAAATGTGTATATATGTAAAAGGTACGATCCACAATTTCTTACTCCAGGTTATTTCTTTATAGAACTACTTTTTTAAAGTTTTTTTCTTTTTTTAGTTTTATAAAATGACACCTGTAACAAATTCATTTTATTTAAATTATTTAACAATTAGATAATCCTTGGAAGTCTTAAAGATATTTTCTTTCTTTCCTTCAAAAGTTTTGCAACAATATCGATTACCACATGAGTGACAGATCATCATATTTTCAAAATTCATAGAGTTTTTGTATGTCTGTTAAACTATTGTGTCTCACTTTTACATTCAATAAACTTTAATCACAGCTACTATTATAATGTAATAGTATTTATGAAATGTAACTGGCTTTAAGGACAGAAACCTTAGTATTGACACCAAACAATGTCTTCCTTGTAGCAATCCATGTACAATGTTTCTGGAATATCTTTGTTGCAAAAATTGTACCTTAAAGAGGCTGGTAATTATGTACTTCAAATCTGTTTCTTTTGTGTATATTGCTCTCATGTTTTTGCAGTAAGTACCAGGGATTATTTTGAATATATTATCTGAAATCTAAACTTTCTATAAGGTCCAAAAAATATACATATATTTTAATATATAACAGAACTACCAAATCATTATTACACCATAAAGTTTAAGGTGTTAAAGCATTTTATGCACCCAGTATTTAAATAAATTTGAAAGTTTGTTTCAAAAAGTGGATTGTTTTAATACAAATTTTGTCATAACTTTAAATAATTCTATTCTGGATAAAAATAATTAGCATTTAGTAATTGTTTGGAGAAGTTCTGCATTTGCAAGTAACAGACGTTAAAATGGCAATAATTTTTTTTGTAACGAGGGCAGTTTTGTTTTTGAAGTACTTTGTTGAAAAAACAAAAAGTAAAATTTTAAATGATATTTAGTTATTTATTCGCACCTTATATTATTTATTCTTGTTTTTTTAATTTCATTGTTTGTAACTGACATTTAATTACTTTGTCTGAAGCTGCCATGTTTTTTTAATATTAAAAATATAAGCCAAACCCTTTAATATAGACAAAAGTTTTCGTCTGGATCAAAAGTAATGCAGAATAATACCAATCAGTACTTGTACAGGAATAAGGTTTTTTGTTGTAGCTATAGAAATCTTGTTGTACATAAACTGATAACTGTGTAGCACTTTCTCCAAAAACATTATACAAAAGACAATTTCAGTTTTTTTATTTTTTCCTAGTCCATACTATATATATACTAAGATATTTATTATTCAAATAAATTTGGAAATTCTTTAGAAGAAGGCAAATATAAACTTTTTGTAATTTTCTAAAATTCATTAAGATGGTCATACATTTGGTTTGACCAGAAAATCCCAGTTTTAAAGCATACTGATGTATAAACAATTAACCAGAATGTCCTAGGGTCTTGTAGAGCATTATGTCCCCCTAAATGGATTTGTAAGCGTATAGTGATGTTTAGATCTAACAACAGAACTATAAACAGTCTCCCGGTGGGTCAGTGATAAATTAAAAGACTTGCATTTCTAAAATCTGGGATATGATTCTCTGAGGTGGACAGAGCACAGATAGCCCATTGTGTAGCAACAATATAAGTATAAATATGAAATATAGAATGGAATATGTGCTATAGTGAAAATACAGTTACTCTCAATATTATCTTTACGCATTACCATTAGAATGAGATCAGTTGATGTTTCAGATAAGGAGGAAGGTATATGGTGATGGTAGAAAATTAGATAGTTGGTTTAGCAGGTCAAAAATTGCAGTCATTTGTGATTGGTTAAATGTAATTGAGGAGCTTCATGAGGAGTGGTGGTTTTTCATTCTTTTAAGTTTGTATCTTCTGTGCAAACATGATTTTTAGGTGTAACTTTTACATCCAAAATTTGCTACGGGGCTCGGATTCATATCTTTTGAACATTGTCGTGGTTACAGCGTACAAAAATTTGATCATCTTATAATTAACCATTTGGTAAACTGTAAAACTCCTTTTCACATTTATTCAGTCACTCTATAAATAGTAGTTACTGTGGTTTGAAGTATTTACCACATAACTGCAATCTTCAAGATGAATATTTCTTTTAAAGCTACACCTTATTTGGAAACTGAACCTTTCCATTCATAAGACTACTGTCACATATTAGCTAGTTTTAGTTGTATACTTATTAAAATTACACCAAACTTGGGCTGTAAAATAACCATTGTCGGTGTCTTGGATCATTTTTATTGGACTTTTCTGTCTAGTAGTTCTGTTTTAGCCCTGATTATGAATTATCTTTCAAACTTGTTACTGCATCTGTATATAAATATTCAAGCACATGGTACAACAGAAGGGGCCACTGTAGTATTATTTGGATTGACTGGTTTATCTAGCATTTGCTTGGGACTAGAAAATTATAATAATGTATTTTGTAATATTCAGTAGTGCTATGCTATTAAAAATTTCTAAAGTAAGGGTGAAAAGTTTTCTCCCTCTGTAGCACAATTCACTTACTATTCTAGAAGTCCAATAATAATCTCTTCTTTCCAATTTGTTTTACTAACATTAATTGTAAGATTCACTATTTTGTTCAATGATTTTTTTGTTGAAATCTGTTAATTTAATAAGTAACAAGCTTTCAGTAATGCACTTTGCAAAAAACCATCCTTGAAAATAATACATCACTGTAATGTCATACCGTATTTAGAAAGTAGGATAGTAATAACGAAAACAAATTGGTAATAAAGCTCGTCTTGACGACTGAGAATTGGGTTTTACAAATAATGGTTGAATACGATTTTTAATGGTTCTTACCATTTTCTGAGGAAAAGTTTTGTTCTAAGGGAAATTGCTATCGGTGAATGCATAACTTTGCTTCAATATTGAATACATGTGAAAATTAACTCTTAAAAAAATCTTAACTTTATTTTTTACATAACTGACTTTTATGTGAAAGTATGAAACCACAGATAAAGAAATAATTTAAGATATAACCACTTATCAATTCTTAAATCATACCTTCATTTAAAGGAGTCATTTTCATGAGTGTATTTTGAACTTTATCAGAAAGTCCCATGTTTTTACGATCAAAATATGCACTCATATTATACACATATTTCCAATTTAAAAAAAAATGATTTTTTTCTTTATACGTTTCATCATACAAACCAACCAAATTTGTTGAGGTTTATGTGAATTATTGTTACTTTTAATCAAGATATAAAGGTGGTTAAAAATTGTCATTCTGCACTCAATGAAATTTTTATTTTAAAGTTGGTCATATAAAGCTGAAATAGCATAGTATACTGAAAAATAAGGAACTATGTAATATAAAACTGTACATTGTAAATTGATTTGTCAATACATAGAATCCACAAAATAAAGTAATTTTTCTATTGTAACTGTGCTTGATTTTTTTTTCCTCTGATGAACACTAGATGTACGATTCCAAGCATTTGTGTAAGGATATCCAATAGAAATTCCATTACATGATTTGTTTGTTTTCCTAAAAACTAAATAGAAATTTGTGCTAACAAAAGTGTTTTTTTAACATGGTATCAAGTAGGCTTTCTCAACAAAAAGATGAACTTGCTGTGCAATGTGTAGGAAGAAAACGGAAATTTTACAAATGTAAAAGAAGCTGTTTAAATTCTTATAATGATCATATTCACTGTACACTTCTTTAGTATGCAGAAGTTCAGTATTCAAGGTCATTGCCATTTACTGCACAATAGTATCATGTTCCAAACTCTGCATCCTCACAAATAAAGAACATTTCTACAAACCACTGAATTATGAATTAAAAGTGCACAAAAATTAATTGAATGATACTCCAATAATTACAACACTTTTGTGTTACCTCTTATATACATGGTAGTAAAATGTAGTATTCCGTTTCAGGTAAGAAAGGACCACGACTTGTTCCTTATTTTACCTAGGGTGCATCATCTTTTTTTTAAATCTTAATTTCATACTTGACAAAATGCTGAAAATTATCAAACACCAAAAACAATGTTTCTTGATTTAGAGGTTTTTATGTTGCAACCCTAGGTCAAACTATCAAGGTGGCATACTGCAATCCAGAAGTGTAGTGTCAATAGTGCATGTACATTACCAACTTTAAAAACTATTCTACTGCTTGAATGTTGTGTTAACATATTTCCACTCCCCCAGTCAATTCATTACATTAATGAAAGTTCCCATTATGTTACTACTAGTAATGAGCATTTCTCATCTTGAATGGCTGAGGTCTCTCCACGACTTTGGCCAATGAAGAAGCTTGACTGGGTAAGCAGCCAGTGAAGGGTACAAGGTAGGGAGATTTTTTTTTTTATAATTAATCTGTTGTAAGGTAGTGAAATCACATTTTATCAAGTAGAACTTATTCAAATTTTTACACACTACTTATTACAGTGGTAGGTTTTGAAAAAAAACATTCACATACAAATCCTAAGTTACCTGTTGTTCTGAACCTTCCCTGTTAGTGGTAGGTTGTTAACTTTCTGAAGAGGCTTGCAGGTGATAATTTTTGATTTGATGCACATGTAAGCAAACTTTGTTCCTTGTAAGATGTGGTTTTACACACTCAACATAGGTTTTAGAACCTCCTAATTTTCAGGACCGAAACTACTGACACATAATTGAAGTGGCTTCATTTTGGAACGTTTTCTTTCCTCACAGTACAAATAAATGCTTGTTTTAAGTGTGTGAACAGGCAAATATATTTTCTGCCTAGACAATCAAAATGCAGTGTTTAAACATCTTTGTATCAGCATGATTAGGCTGCATTGCAAGTGGTTTTCTATTATAATTTCTCCTTTTTTTTTTTGTGAGTGAAATTCAGTAATTTTTTCAGAGACAACATATTATGAAATGGTCTTGAATCCATATTTATTACAAAAAAAGCTTATAAATGGCCTATTTATATTAAAGTGTGACATTTGCTAGTTATAAAAATTCATTATCATACTAAATTTTATTAAGTACCTTACAATTTAAGATTTCAACCGTATGGATAAATTTTCAGTTTTGTTTTACAGAGGTTAATTAACACTAAATATGTATCTTCCTGTATGTGTAATATTATTTTATTTATAAAATAACACAGCCTTTCACGTAAAATAAAATGTATTCGTTTTTGCAGAATTTAAAAAAATTCCCTGCTCTGTACAAGACTTAAGAAATGAGTATGCTGACAGACAAATATTGTATAATTGCTTAGACACCTGTTTATTATAAATAGAGCACAACACAAATGCAATTATATAAACATTTTTGGCTACTGATATTTATGAATGTGTGAATATTTCTCTTGTGCAATGACTTTTATTTATTTTTTTGCATGATTGACGAGGAACAATGTATATATCATAATCAAAACAAAGAACGTTCTTCATGCTTTCTATCTAGAATTAAGTTCATTTTTTGTTTTATACCTTTTCCCAAATATGCATTGCCTCTATTTCTTATAGCATATTTACTTCTCATAAGGTCTATGGGTTGTAGGCTGAATTGTAAAATTTTAATACACAAGTAGACTTTCAACTAAAATATATTGGGGGAAACTAACTGTAGTTAATTTATAAGCACTATGTCAAATCCAAATGAATAAAATAATATTTTTCAAATAGGCTAAACTAAAAGTAATTGAAAACACCCTACCTACCCTTGTTCACCACTCGAGACTAGTGTAGATGCTATGGGTCTGTTAACCATTTCCTATCATCCAGTATATTTACAATGAATTATATTGTTTTTTCCAAAAAGAAATCTCACCAGGAACAAAATCTGTATTTTCATACACAGTATGATACCCATGTAGTCTCAAGTAAAGGTAAGATCCAGTGTAAAATTAACTTAAAAAATGGGTTTTTAAAAGGTGTGAAAAATATAAACTAGCAAGAAGGCAAATGGTTAACTTGACCTTTATAAGCTTCATCTTTAGCGAATATATTATCACTTTTCGTATATATGAATACTTTCAATTTTTATAACTGAAAGTTTTTAATGGCTTGACTAGGCCTGTTAATGCATTACTGTTATCATAATACCGAAGATTATGAAAAATAGTAATGCAAGCTGATTTTATCCTAGTTTCAGTACATTTGTATGTGTATAGTAATTAAAAAGTAAACTTGCTTAAGGTCACATTTCCATACAGTTGCAAAATACAATACCAGCCACCGAAAACCCAGAAAAGTAATTTTTTAAATGAAATGAAACTTTATTCAAGAGTCTCAATAAAAGGAGTAAGTTTAGAACCACACTTTTGTTTTTTGATAAAGACAGGTGACATTCACAGAAGCAATGTTAGAAAAAACACTACTTTATTTCATGATGTTAATATATCAGTTAGAATAGAACATATCTGATAAATATGACTTTCCTTACCTAAACCGAACAGAAAGAAACGGATAACCATCATATTCGCATAACCTGTACATTTATGCCAGGAAGTAAGATAATTAAAAGAACAAAAGTATAATTTATTTTCTTTTGGTTATGAATTTTTTTCTTAATAAAAAATCTACTTGTTTTGCCTTATAACAGTTGTCAAAGCCACATTATTCAGTCTTGATAAAAGCCTACATACTTGTTGTAATCAATTTTGATAAAACAGTTAACACAAAGGATCACATATAAAATGTAATAAACTTAAAATAAGACCCAAGACCTGAGCACTTTCGAATAGTTGACTATTCTTCTTCAGGAGAACAAAGGGTTGTAATCGTCTGTCATGAACTTCTATGACAGAACCTGTTTCACATACACTTCAAATTGTTCAATAGCTCATATCATACTTTATCCTCTTAATAAGGCAGCAAAAACTAATTAAAGCATAATAAATGTATACTGCTTAAAGTCGACGGATAACTGAAGTCTCACTATTTATTGCTAAAAAAGTTTGCAGCAGGTCGTATTGACTAGTGGCCTTCCATCTAATCTATCACTTCAAAATTAAAGAGTTAGGCTAGCAAAGATAGCCCTCATAACATTATGTGAAATTCAACAAACTTACATGTATAACTGAATTTTTATATATTCTGGCTATAAGGCACAATTGCTTTTGAAGTCTCATTTTTTATTTATTTTTTTCAAAACATGTGTCAGGTGACCAGTCGTGATCCAAGATGTAAATATCTACAACTGCTTCTACAGACTATTAAAATGTTTGGTAATAAGGCATGAGATTACCAGTGATACTAATGTAGGCCTTACATGCTTAAAATGAGTGAATAAATTAGCTGCTAGAGTAACATGTTTTTCAAGTTTATCAACACCACTTGGAAGTGAATCACATGCTCCCAAGAGCTTTCCCAGAACATTCCTTACATGTTCAACCAAATTTAAATCCAGTGAGGTTGGCCAATCCATTTACTCGGTACTACTTCATGGAGTTGTTAATCACCTTTGGCACATCATTATTTATTAGAAGAAAGATCTGAACAATTGCCTTTCATTAGAAAACACTAATGGTTGTGAGACTTGCATACCCTTACCTCATGGCATTTATAGTGCCATGTTACAGCACATAAAAATCAATATTATCCCTACCAGTAATGCCAAAAATTGGAATATCTCCTTTTTGAGATTGGATCTGATCATCTTTCAAATGCATACACATATCTGTCTTCAATGTGAAATATGATTCATCTGTGAACAAGAAGCTTGGCCACAAGTCATTTGACCAGTCCATATACTTTAAACAACTGAAAATGCCTGTTTTGTGGTGGTGAGTT